ATTCCTGCTTTTTCTCCACACCCTCTCAGCGGTGGTTCTTAGGTAATCCATGAGGCTCACTTCACATGGCAGCCGCCCCTGCATCCTTTCTTTACCATATTTTTCTGGAAAGCCTCTGACTTCTTTTGGCCTTATTCACATTAAGGCCCTGACTCCAGGCTTCCCGGACCCCTGGGATTTGTCCAGATCTGCCCAGTTTTGTCCAGTTTTTGTCCAACTCCCCCACTTCTGCTTCTCTACCCCCCCCACCCCAGTGATTCATCTGTGGCTCCTTTGAAGTTCTTTGTCGAGAGAGGCGCTGTCCACGATGGCTTCCCCTGGTCAGATGCCAAGCCCTTGAAACACGGTCGATGTCAGCCAGGGCACACCGTATGTGCAGAAACACAAACCAGGTTTCAAGGGCTCCGTGTGAAAAAACTCATTAATATTTTTACATCGCCCTCACGTCCAAACAGTCAATTTTTGATGCACTACACCGAGTTTCAACAAAATACATGAAAAATTCATTTCACCTGTCTCTGTACTCTGAACGCAGGAGCTAGAGGATTCAAAATTAAATTGGTGGTCCGCACTGTATTTCTCTGGGGCCCTGATTGTCCTGACGCCGGCATTGCCCACCGTCCGCCTTGCCGTGCCCTCCCGCCTGGCTTGCAGGATGAACCTGCCGCGCTGCACACGGATGGCAGCACTTGGCTTTCAGACCCTCATTTCGCCCTTTCCAAGCGGGTCTGTGTGCACGTGCTCACAGGAGCGGCCGATGGGTGAGAGAGCACTTGGGGTTCTGGTGTGTTCCGCCATCCCGCTGGTGGTGGCCAAGGGGCAGGTGCGGTCCCAGGGCCCACAGCCAGAGCTCTGCTCTGCAGGCTGGATCAGGTGGGGAACCTTCACATGGAGGCGTGAGGCTTTGCCTGGGGGCGGCGTAGGCACCAGGCACCGATTCGCTGGGAGCTGCTGCAGTTCTCAAGGTTTTGAAGGTCGTTGGTGGGTGCCCCACACACGCCCCGTGCCCCCGTGAACTTGGCATACAGCCCGCCAACAGGCAGCTCTTTGTCCTTCCGCCGGCATGCCCACCCCACCTTGTCCATCTGGCAGAGTCCCACCTGTCCTTCGAGGCCCGGCCTGAGTGTCGCCTGAGCCCTGGACCCCCCCTCTGTGATTCCTCCATCAGCATCTCCACCACAGCGGGGTTGTTTTGCCTGCGTCTCTTCCCCTCCTGGTGGTGTGTCTCCTCCAAGCTGGACCATCTGTGCTGTCTCTCCCTGTCACCAGCCCCGAGTGTAACTGACTCTACAGAAGTGTCCGTTGAATTGATAGTGGTCATTTTCAGGTACCGGGGATCTGGTTCCGCCTCTCTGATGGACGGGTGGAAATCACACCCTTTTCTTGTCTTATCACCATGGCTGTAGCATCTAGGACTCGAAGTAACCAGGACGTGCACCCGCAGCCTGACTCCCCTGCTGTACGGGGGATCTTGGCTTATCTGGGGTTTGTAGCTGGGTGTTGCTCTTGGCTGTTTGTCAGCTGTCTTTTCTGCATCTCGCTGGACGATCCTTTCTTTTCTAACCTTTCCAGATATTGCGATGAATTTGGTGGCAGTCCTCTCTGCTGACTTAAACTCAAGGGGAAGGGGAGCTAGGATCCTAGGGTGGCAGTGGAAGGCTATCTGTTCTCTCTAGGCTGGGGGTAGGAAGGGGTCCAGAAAACCCAAGGGGCGGAGGGGGGCAGAGGTGAAGACAGGGCATTACCTGGTCTGCTCCTGGGAAAGGCTGGCCCTTTGTAGGATTCGATTAACGGAGCTCCCCCTGTAACCAAGTGAATGATGTTGCCTCTGATGGTATATTTGTTTAAAACAGCATTATTGAGATGCACTTCACCTACCGTACAAACGACCGTTTTAGAGTATTTACTTCACTGATTTTTAGTATATTCACAGAGCTGTGCACCCATCACCGTCATCAATTTTAGGACATTTTCATTACCCCAAAAATATGCCCCATCCCCATTAGCAGTCACTCCCCTGTCCCCCAGCCCCTGACAGCCAGGAGTGCACTCTCTGTGGATTTGCCTGTTCAGGACATTTCCCATCAGTGGAGTCACCCCCCATGTGTCCTTCTGTGTCTGGCTTCTCTCACTGAGCGTCATGTTCTCAAGGTCCATCCACATTGCAGCGAGTGTCAGTGCATCACCCCTTTTCATGGCTGAGTGATGTTCAGGGCGTAGAGAGACATTTTTCTGTCCCTTCCTCCGTTGATTCAGGGCATTTGGGTTGCTTCCACCTTTCAGTTGCTGTGAAGCCGGTTACTGTGAACATTCCCGCTCCAGTCTGTGTGTGGGTGTGTGTTCCCCGTTCTCAAGTACCTAGACACCTCGCCTTCCCGGCCCCCCTAAGTGGCCCGGTCCTGACCCCGCCTCCCTCTCCCTTGCAGCTGATCCACCTGGAGATCAAGCCAGCCATCCGGAACCAGATCATCCGTGAGCTGCAGGTGCTGCATGAGTGTAACTCGCCGTACATTGTGGGCTTCTATGGGGCCTTCTACAGCGACGGCGAGATCAGCATCTGCATGGAGCACATGGTGAGCGCGGTGGGGCCCGGGGCACCTCCCCTCCCACCCCGGAGTCCCTGTCCTGTTCCCGGGGGACCCTCTTGGAGGTGGGCAAGGCAGTGCAGCCGTATGTGCATGTAGGCCCCTTTGTTTCTTAAGCGCCAGACACCCTCCTCCCGACGCTGCTTTTTCCCCCCGGATCCAAGGTAGACGTTACTCTCTCTTGGCACAGAGCTGGCTCTGTCTTTTTCCCCTCCGTCTAGCGCCCTGGCGTCCCCGCGTACCTGTTGGGTAATTTATGAAACGCTCTTGGTGGACACTCAGGTTGTTTGCGGTCCCTGCGGCCTTCTGAGTAATGCAACGTTGAAAGTCCTTGCGCCTAAGCAGACACACCCGAGGGCTGAGTCCCGCCGCTGGGCTACGTGACTAAACACTTGATCTCTCCTTCCAGCGTGCGTGGTCTGGGGACCGGGGTCTGCACCCCAGCTCAGACCCATGGGACCAGGCCTCTGCCATGGAAGGTGGCCGCCCATCTCTTTTAAACCATGGTTGATTCTAATGTGCCCCCTCATTAAGGAACTCTGGTCTCGAGGCTCAGAAGTGGGTGGGATCAGGTGTAACGTGAAAGCAGAAGTGGCCAGAGCTGAAGGCCCCCAGAGGAAATGCCGCCGGCCCTCTGCCGTGCCTCCTTTGTCAGGTAGGGCCCTGCCCGCGCCCAGCTGTCCAGGCCCCAGCCCTCAGGGCCCTTGCAAAACCAGGATGCCACGTGGCTTTTGGCGGGTGGCTTTGGTTACGCCTCGCCTCCAGCTTGCCATCCCCTCTGATGGTTTTGTAACGAAGGCAGGAAATGAATTTGAGCAAGGGCCCGCGAGGAATGCATGTGGGCCAGAGGGAGGGCTCCTCCAGCTGCCTTGCCCCGACCTGGCTGCCTGATTCCCGCCTGGCACTGCCCCGTGGGAGCCCCTTCCCCACCTGGGAGAGGGCAGTCGTATCTGCCCACCCACCTGGGAGAGGGCAGTCGTATCTGCCCGCCCACCTGGTCGACACTGCACAGACGAGTATCAGGGCGAGAAAAGGATGTGACATCGCTGTGGTCTGAGGGGAGCCTCTTCTGTGCTGTCTCTCCCGCCCTCCTCCCTCCCTCTCCCCTTCCCCCCTCCTCCCCTGCTTGCCCCCCCCTTCAGCTACCTCCATCCCTGCTCCCTGAATACCCTGAGAGTTTGGAGGCCCCTCTTTGCCTTGTACAAAAGAGGCAGCATGGGACTTCCCTGGCGGTCCAGTAGTTAAGACTCCGTGCTCCCACTGCAGGGGGCATGGGTTCCATCTCTGGTTGGGGAACTAAGATCCCACGTGCTACACAGCACGGTCTAAAAAAATAAAATAAAAAAGAAAAGAGGCAGCATCAGAGCCCCACCCCCTCCCCCTCCGTTCTTGGTGGGTGTAAAGCATCAGTTCCAGGTGAGGCGCCTGCACCCCGGCGGCACACAGACGGAACCGCTGGGATGCAGGGGAGATGCTAGATTCTCTTTGTTTGCCATGTTTGTCCTTCAGAGCTTCACGGTTGGGCTTTTCTTGTTCGCTTTCATAGCGAGCATATGACGACAGTGGAACGCGTAGATGGCACACAAACGCAAAGACACGGGCTCGGGTGTGGCCCGCGCTCCCCTCTTTCTGCTTACGGGTTACAGTCCATGAAGGTGATCCTTAAGTGGTTGGTGGCTGCTGGGCGGGGAGGGCGTGAGGAGGACAAGATGACAGGAAGCGCTGAGAGGGCCTGTGCCACGCACACCCATGTCCTCGTGCCCGATGGTCCCCTGCAGGGTCTCGCACATGGCAGCGAGAGGACGCTTGCAGTCCCCCCACCTGTCATGCGGGACTGGACGAGTCTCACACCTTGTTTGTCAGGCCAAAGGTGTGAGGACGGGGCGAGCTGGTCCATGAACATTGACGGAGCGTCAGCCGTGACGTTGTCACCACCGCCACCATTTCCCCTAATTCCTGCATCACCTCCATTTCTCTCCCTGTCGAGGGCACGCATTCGTCTCTACGCAGGGTCGTGCACGAATTGACTCTCGTCTCCCACCGGGTAGATTCCAGCTCCAGCTTGTGAGAAAGGCCCGCTGGCTGTGACGAGCAGCCCCGATTCAGCACAGAAGGAGAAACTCACCTGTGGGCATGGGAAACAGCGGGGCTGGCGGCTCCCCGGTGCCCAGACCTATTCCTTTTCCTGGGGAAACTAGGGGCTTGGACCAGCGGACAGCGGGTGTCTCAGGGCCGGAGTGGCCAAGGAGCAGCCGACTGACCACTCAGAGGCAGCTCTTGGTATTTTCTTGGGTCCTGGTCAAATCTACTGAAGAATGCACTCCCTTGTTCTACAATAATGAAAAATCAGACACGTCTGTCAGCAAGGGGGATGTGAAGAATGACACCAGGCCGCTTCCCAGGGGAGAAGTGAAAGCAGCATATATGCGCCGGATGAGAAAATCCCCCCAGAGGAAAGTATACATAATATGAGCCCCCAGATACATAGATAGATATACTTAAAACTCTGTGTCAGCTCTGCGCCCCATGGAGGATGAACCACGCTGATGTCAGGGGGTGGGTGGCAGTGGGGCTGCGTGGAGAAGACCGCGATGTGTCCTGAGTCGCCTTGAGACCCCAGCCTGGGGCCTGGCCCACCGTAGTCGCTGCGGAGATGTTCTCCCTGAATGTCATCCAGCAAATATACCGCAATCCTATGGAAAGTTAAGAGTATGAGGAGCTGAGTCAGGGAGCAGGGATCATGAACGCTTTTTTAAAAAAATCCTTTTAAGGTTGATGAAACAACAAATGAGAAAAAAGTGGAATTTCCATCTCGCCCTGCACGCAGAATGGGGCTGGGCCGGGCAGCCTGCCGACCAAGTGCACCGGACCGCCTGGTCCTGTGGGTTCCTCCCCGGCCACACCTGCCGTCGCTGCACGCACAGCCCCCTCGTCCTCAGGCTGGGGCTAGCCTACAGAGTCCCTCGTGGGTTCCCAAAGCACTGGAGGGCCTGGGGTTTTCCACAACTCCCACCGCGGCCCTTCTCCCCAAGCACAGCTGGAGCAGAGTGCCAGGGAGGGGGGACCAGGCGTCTCGGAGGCTGCAGGCTTCTCGCCCCACCTCAAATGGAATAAGAGGCCTCCTGGGACAGCCGGTGGCCACAGGAGCCCTAGAGCAACATGGAGAGAAAACAGGCTCTCCACCCAGCTGCGAGTTAAGATGCTGACCACCTCCCACCGCAAGCCCAAGCCTCAGCTCCGGTCTGCCTGGCATCCTGGGGGGGGACCTTGGTGTGTCCTTGGAGCCCATCTATGAAGAGGCGCCTTGGGCCAGTTGGTGACACCCGGGGTTTTGGTCTCCAGGTTTGCTGCTGGGTGACCTTGCACAAGACACTTGGTTTCTGTCACTTCCTCGTTATCGTGTGGATTTGGGGCCATGCCCTGGTCAGGGGATCAACTAGGGTGCCCTGTGTCACATCCTTTGCTGGACATCCCAGTTTCAGGGTGGCGAGCAGTGGCTACACCGGCAGGATGGGGGGGCCGAGCCATCGTTCCCCCTCCCCCATGCCCCTCGGCCATCAGGCCTTCCTGGTGGAGCTGGCTTGGCCTTCCGTCTGTGCCGGGCACTTGCGGGCGGCGCCCCTGTGCTCGCGCTCCCCTTCCCGAGGCCGCGGCTGACTTGCTGGGAGGGGACCCAGGCCCAGAACTGCAGGTCTGGCTCAGGTACTCTCTCTGGTGCTCCGGCTGCAAGCTGGGCGGCTCAACCGCAGGCCTCGTGGAGCATTGCCCGCCTGCCGCTGCCGTGGCAACCTCGGGAAGGCTGAGTCACGCCGTCCAGCCACGGGCCTCAGTTCCGGGAAGGATGGACCGCCTGGCGAGCACACTGGCACCCTTTCCGTTTCCTGAGGCCCCAGAGGTGGCCGGGGCCGCGGGAGTCCCTGCTCTGAGCCAGTGGGTTGCCTTTGGCTGTGGTCTGGCCTCTGTTTTCCGTGGAGGAAATTGAGCACCAGCTCTCTCGGAACCAGGGAAATGCTTCGTTTTCCTCCCTGCCACTCTGGCGTCCCTCTGGGGAGCCCTGCCTGGCGACGGCTCAGGGCAGCTCTACCTCTCTCTCCTGTGCTGCCCCTAGGACGGTGGCTCCCTGGACCAGGTGTTGAAAGAAGCCAAGAGGATCCCCGAAGAGATCCTGGGGAAGGTCAGCATCGCGGTAAGTGCGTGTGGGCGCGCACTCCCGGCCCCGCGTTCTCATGGGTTTCTTCTTACTTCTGCCCCCTTCCACGCGGCCAGGCTCGAGGAGCCTCAGGAAGCCGGTGGTGGGCATCAGCAGAGGCACCAGTGCCAGCCTCCACCGGCTGTGGGACTGAGCGAGTGGCGGCCCTTGGCCTGTGAGGTGGGGGTGATACTTCCGTGCCCCGTACAGGCATGGGGGTGGCAGGGGGAGCCGTGGCGCGGCGCCGGGCACACACTGTCCCACGGTGCTGCCGTTGTCAAGTGTCACCTGTCTAACTCGGTGAAACAGCCCCTGCATCCTTCACGCCATCAACCTGGGGGCCCTGAGCACAGTCCTGGCACCAGAGGGCTCAACAGAGGACGCCTCTCGGGCTGAGGTGACCCCTGAGGCGGGGCAGTTGGCTGGACACTTACAGCCCTACTGACAGGGCCTCGGGCCCTCCTCAGACAAGGGGAGAGCGGTGTCCTCCTCAAGGGTGGGGGGCCGTGTGAGAGTTGGGGAGGTGGGTGACTGTACCCACCCGAAGAATGTCGTCAGTGTCACATGGCCACTTCGGCCTGGGCCTCGGGCCTGTCCAGAGGACAGTCCCCCTCACGGCACCGCTCTGCGGCTTCCCTGCAGGTTCTGCGGGGCCTGGCGTATCTCCGGGAGAAGCACCAGATCATGCACCGAGGTAAGGGGACGGGCACCCCGGGGCCGGGAGGGGCTAGCGGCGACCCACAGCGTCCACACCGCCGGCTCTGCTCCCAGATGTGAAGCCATCCAACATCCTCGTCAACTCCCGAGGGGAGATCAAGCTGTGCGACTTTGGGGTGAGCGGGCAGCTCATCGACTCCATGGCCAACTCCTTCGTGGGGACGCGGTCCTACATGTCTGTGAGTCCTTCCAGCGTCCTCCCCACCACCACCCCGACCCTCATCAGCTCTTCCCCGTTTTCCAGAAGCTTTTCCGAAAGCCTGCCCTTCCCTGTAGTATAGTTTCTTTTGCGGGCTTTCTTCTCTCCTTTGAATTTCTAGTTTCCATCATCTTCTCATCTGGGTTTTTGTCTCTCTGGAGACGCCGGCCTGGTTCCTGTCCGCTCAGGGAGAGTAGTCAGTTAATTTCTGAGCCAATCGACTAGCCCTCCGTTATTTTAGGCACTATCTGGGTGATTTTATTTTTTTATTTTCATTTTTATCTCTTTAATTTTTTTTGGCCACACCGCGTGGCCTGTGGGATCTTAGTTCCCCGACCAGGGATCGAAACCACGCCCCCTGCATTGGCAGCGTGGAGTCTTAACCACTGGACCGCCAGGAAAGTCCCCATCTGGCTGATTTTAAGAGCAGATTCTGAGAAGTCCGTCTTGGGATTGTTGGGAGAAGGAGATGTTCCAGCGTCTTTCCTGGGTCGGTCGCTCTCCAGAAGCACTTGGGGTTGCGGGGCTTTAAGGGGCTGCTGTCAGCACGGCTGGAAGCAGGTGGACGGAGGGGGCGGAATGGCTTTCTTTCTGCTGCTGGGTCCCTAAGCGGGATGGGGCTGCAGGGGGACCACAGGGACACTCTAGGGTGCCAGCGTCCCTCCATCTCCCTTGGGCCGTCTCTGCCCATCTCCCCTCAGCCGGAGCGGCTGCAAGGCACTCACTACTCGGTGCAGTCAGACATCTGGAGCATGGGCCTGTCCCTGGTGGAGCTGTCCATTGGAAGGTACCCCATCCCCCCGCCGGATGCCAAGGAGCTGGAGGCCATATTTGGCCGGCCCATGGTCGACGGCGCGGAAGGAGAGCCTCACAGCATCTCGCCGCGGCCGAGACCCCCCGGACGCCCCATCAGCGGTATGGCCCGAGGCTGGGACTTCCGGTTTGGATGGGGCACGCAGCGCCTGGGGACAGCAGCTGCCTCCCCTCTGGCCCCTCTTAGCTCCACCTGTCCCCCTGGGCCGCGCTCACTGCAGTCAGCAGTCCTCAGATGGTTCTGAGGCTTCTGGGGACAACGCTGCAAGCAACGCCTCTAACTGTCCTGTCTGGGGCAGCTGCACCTGTTGCTGCCAGCTGGCGGGGTCGAGACACTCGCCCCTCAGCCAAGCTGTGGGGTGGCGGGTGGTTTCTCCAGCATTTCATCACGAGAACGTTCAAGTGTACAGAAAAGCCGAAAGGGTTGCCCAGCAGGCAGTCTTCTGCCCCACACCTGGACTCTGCAGTGGCCGTCCTGCTGTGTTGGGCCAGGCCTTTCAGGGAGCCCAAAGTGAAGGAAACTTGACTCGGGTCTGGGGTGGCTGGTTAGATTCAGCCCAACACACAGCAGAGGTACGGAAGGGCAGCGGGGCTCCCAGGGGCCTACCGGTACCTCAAGCAGCCACCTGCGAGGTTCAGGCCGATGCTTCCACCGCGTTGGGGGCTGGCGAGGGGTGAGGATCATGGCTCAGGTGGTGTAATTAGGAAGGGGCGCATAGGACTCTGTGATTTATTTATTTATTTATTTATTATTTTTATTTTTTTGCGGTACGCGGGCCTCTCACTGTTGTGGCCTCTCCCGTTGCGGAGCACAGGCTCCAGACGCGCAGGCTCAGCAGCCATGGCTCACGGGCCCAGCCGCTCCACGGCACGTGGGATCTTCCCAGACCGGGGCACAAACCCGTGTCCCCTGCAGCGGCAGGTGGACTCTCAACCACTGCGCCACCAGGGAAGCCCAATTTATTTATTTTTTAAGTCAAGTGACAGGAAGAGAGTTGAATTGAGTGAGAGCCCAAAGGACCATGCAGTGGACTGCAGTTGGTTGGTTGGTTTCTAACAGCTTTATTGAGATAGCATTCACATACCATATGGTCCACTCGATTCAGGCTTATAACTCACTGGATTTCTATACCTTCACAAGGTTGTCCGACCATCACCTTTATCTGACTTCAGAACATTTCATCACCCCAAAAGGAAACCCTGTCCCCTACCCAGCCCCTGACAACCACGAACCCACTCCCTGTGTCTGTGGATTTGCCTGTCCTGGACGTTTCCCATCAATGGAATCACACACTGTGTGTCCTTCTGTGTCTGGCTTCTCTCACTGAGCATTGTGTTCTTGAGCTCTGTCCACACTGTGGCAAGTATCGGTGCCTCATGGCACCTCATGCCTTGCTCCTTTTTTATGGTCACATAATATTCCACCACGTGGTATCTATTTACCGCTGACGGATACTTGGGTCGTCAGATGGCGGTTTTCACGGTATTCTCAAGCCCAGACCCCTTTCCTGGTGCCACACCCAGACTGCTGGGGTGTCTTGATTTCCTCCGAGGGGAGAACCCCCCCGCCCGCATCTGTGTCCTCAGGCCCCAGCCCTGCCCCTCCCTTTCCAGCCCAACTCCCAGACGGTGCTCAGACCTTCCAGGCGGGGAGGAGCGGGGCGCTGTGCCAGGCCGCTCAGCCTGCCAGCACCTCCCCCAGCCCCGGCCCTGGCCCACGTGCCCATTTCAGGACAGGGGACAGAAGGCAAAAGTCCAGCTGCCAAACGCGGGCCTGGCCAGCTGGGTCTAGGACAGGGGTCAGCCATCCCAGCCAGCCACCATCCTGAGCCCGCAGGTCCGTGCCAGGTCACACTGCTGCCCTTGCCTGCTTGGCCCCCCGTGGCCCCTCCCCCCACGCCAGGGAGCAGGGGGTCGGCTTTAGCACAGCCCAGACGCAGCCCCCTGCCAGATGTGTGCCTTCTCAACAAACGTTCCTGTTCGTTCTGGTGTTTTGTTTTTTTAAGTCACCAGAGGCTCAGGAGAGACGTTCCTCTCCCAGGAAGGCAGCTGGGCCCAGGAGCCTGCCCTCTGGGTTGGGCCAGGTGCGGAGCAGGGTGCTCGGCTGCGTTCAGCACGCTCAGGCCCCACCGCCCGACGGAAGCACGGTGCCCACCTGCCCGTCTCACCCATCTTTGTTTCTGCCCCGGGCAGGTCATGGGATGGACAGCCGGCCGGCCATGGCAATCTTTGAGCTGCTGGACTACATCGTGAACGAGGTGCGTGCCCGGGGCCCTGCTGGCAGGCAGGTCTCCACAGCAGCGGCATCAAGCCGTTCCCGTTGGAAAGAAAGAAGAGCGTTCGATGTGTAGACTGTGGGTTGTGTCGGGGAGGCGCCGCAGAGAGCTGTGGAGACCATTGAGTCCAGTAGGATGCGCACACCTCCCCTCCCCAGGGGACTCTTTCTTATCTTTTCACGGGGATGAACCCGGAATTCTCACTGTGAGCCCAATGGCCGAGCGCTGGGGCCCTGTGGGTGAAGCCATAAATCATCCCACTTCCTCAGGGAAAGTTGAGGCACCCCCTTCCTCTCTGGGAAGGGGGCACAGGGCGCCCACCCAGTCCTTTTCCCCACCCTGTGAGAGGGCAGCGTGGATACTCCCATTGTACAGATGGGTAAATCCAGGCGTAGGATGGGAGTGGCCTCCTCAGGCCTGCAGCTGGGACGGGGCGGAGCAGGACCTGACCCTACAGCCCTCCCTCTCGGCATGGCCGGGTCACCCTCCTGGCCCTTCTCTGATGGAAGTGTGTTTCCAGAGGCCCTTTGGAGTTGGGGTGGCTGAGCTTGGCCCAGGATTGGGTCTTGAGGTGAGCAGCTCAGAGCAGGGTCAGTGGCGACAGAACAGGGCAGGGTGGTTCCGGTGACACAGCTCTCCCTGCACCTGGCAGCGACGCCCAGGCCCGGTGAGCACGTCCTTCCAGGGAGGCCGCCAGCACCTCCCGCCCCTGAGCAGGGAGAAGGCCCTCCGCCCTCCTGGACGGGGCCTGAGCCTGCACACGGCTGTCCCCACCCCGGGACCTGTGTGGGGCCAGGCCCCTCAGGCTCCCCCTCGTTTCAGGCAGACCCCCAGCTCTCTCCAAGCAGCTCCGGAGGGTAGCGGCCCAAACCGTGTAGCACGTGGTCAAGAGTAACCATCCTCGTCCATAAAACGAGGATGAGCCCTGTTCTCCTTCACTCCTGACCCAGTCGTGGTCCCCAAACAAGAAGAGCTTTTGAAGGAAACTCTGGGAAAAGGCCGACCCAGTTGGCAGGGCTGCCCGGGGAAGCTGCTGGAAGCGGGGGGTGGTGGGCGCCCTCTGCCTCCAGGAAGGGTGCATCCTGAGGGTCCCCAACGAGTGCCGAGCTGTCCTCAGAGGCACAGGCTGGGAAGCGCCTTTTCTCCCTGATTCCAGAAGCATCCTTGAGCTCTCACCCCCGCCTGTCTGTCCTGCCCCGCAGCCTCCTCCCAAGCTGCCCAACGGCATCTTCACCCAGGACTTCCAGGAGTTTGTAAATAAATGGTAAGATGCCATGGCCGCCAGCTCGGGGCGGGTGGGGCAGGGTCCAGGCCACCTGGCCTGCTTCCTGGGACGACTGGGGCCTCGGGGATGCCGGGCAGTGGCGGCGTCTGGTGGGACCGGAGCTCACCTGAGAACCCAGATACCCCCGCCAACCCCCCACCAAGGCTGCTGAGTCACGGCGTCCAGCTGCCACCCCCACATTGTCCCTGAAACCCCGCGCAAGCCAGGATGGCAGGCTCTCTGGAAATAACGCTATTCCCGCCTTGCCTTCTGCCAGCAGGCAGCCCGGTGTCCTAACCCCTCAAGCCCGTAACCCGTGGCTCCTAGGCAGGCCTTCGGAGCCGGTTTCTGGGGGGTGGCCCTCCCACCCTCTGAAACGTCTGGGTGACGCGGCCTCGGGCGAGCAGGCTGTGGACCCAGAGGGCCGGCCCGCTGAGCGCCCTGCACGTCAGGACGCGACGCTGCGGCCCAGGGTTGCGTACCTCGCAGCCAGCCCGTGACTGCGCGTCCAGCGCTCCCCGTAAACCTGTCTGCCCTGTGAGGTTTGCCAGTTTGAAGAAGTGCCCCTCAGCCATGAACTGCTTTGAGCAGCAGCCTTTTAGGCGGTTCTGCTTTCGTGAAGGGAAAACTTCCACTTTGACCCTTGGACTCCCAGACTTGGGGTTTTTATTAGAAACTTAGCTGTGGTTGCTGCTGGGCCTCTGATGGAGCAGTGGGGGGCGGGGGGGGTGTTCCCACCCTCTTCCCCTTTCCCTCCTGTCCTGGTCTCAGATTCTTGCCCTGCCCTCTCGGGGCATCCTGCTCTCACACCCAAGGGTGGCGGTGGAGCCCCTCACCCACGGGGGCCAGGCAGGAAAGGGCAGCAGGATGCAGGCCTCTTCCACCAAGGCCACTGACTGCCCGCCTGTCTTCTCTCTCCCACCCCCTGGAACCCACAGCCTAATTAAGAACCCAGCAGAGCGAGCAGATCTGAAGATGCTCATGGTGAGTGATACCTGCAGATTTTGGACTTCCAGAGGTCCCTGGCAGGCCCTCCTCGCCCTGAGTGAACACCTGAGCTGGCTCCGATGTCTCTTGGCCAAGCTGGAGAACCCCTGTGGGTCGCCCTGGCTTGCTGGAGGGGGCCATGCAGAGCAGCCGTGGTCCTCTCAGCTCCCTGGGTGACAGAAGGGCCCGTGTGCCTGGGGCTAGGGCTGTGTCTCAGAATGGCCGGCCTCCAAGGCGTTGGGGGCACCACTGGGGTGTTTGCCTTCCTCTAAACCCATACTGTCCAACGTCCTTGAAAACCAAGGTGGTGTCCGGCATTGGCCTTCCCCCAGCAGGGCTGCCCGCCAGCCTCAGGGTGACCGTCACGGTGCCTTCTGCCCATGTCCACTGTGGACGTTAGGGCTTCCTCCTCCATCACCAGGCCTGACCACCTGAGTCACCCCTGATGCTGAGTCAGCCCCTTGTTTATGCGTCTTGTGTCTTGAAGAGAGAAAGCACTGCCAGCTACAGGCGTGAGATGTTGGTTGTCAACCTCAGGTGTCCACACGGGAGAGAAGGAGCCTCTTAGGGTGGTCACGATGCGGTAGTTTGAATAACCGAGCCACACCCTCCGGTGGGCTCCTGTGCCCCTGCCCCCGCCTGCAGGACCACGCTCCCCCCTCCCCACCATGTCCTCCACCAAGCCTCCCTCCCGCTTTCCACCTCAGGACCTTTGCACAGGATGGCCCTTCTTCTGGGACGTGTCCTGTTGCTCTCCCCCCAGCTGTGGGCCTCTGCCTCGGCACCGCCTCCAGGAAGGCACCCTGTCTAGCCCACCCCTCTGTTAGCTGTGGCTGCAGCCTGTGTGTCCCGGCTGTAGTCAGTTTTCTGTGGCCCCAAGAGTGAGCCTGGCCTGGAGCGCCTTGTGGGAAGGGGTCTGCAACCATCTGCTGCTTTCTAGAAGCTCCTTACTGAGTCCAGTGATGTGTGTTCGGGGCACGCACGACATAAGAAGCACGTGTTCACTGTGGAACATGCAGACCCACAGAACAGGGGAGTGAACTTTGACACCTGCCGTTGTCTCCCCCGCCCAGCCCAGCTCCACGCAGTTCACACGGTGCGGTACGACGTCCACGTCTCTGCCTGCGTGACACTGTGGGCCGTGTGGGGCTGACTGTCTCCCCGACCACGAGTCCTGTTCCCTTGGTTTGGTGTTTCACCTAAGCCTGCGCCCACCTTTAGGCAGGTAGGGGTGGTCTCGCCTCCCCAGCTGGCATAACAGGCAGATGTCACGTGGGAGGCCTAGACCCCCGCCCTTCCAAATGGGAACCGCTGTCAGGGTGACTGTTAAAGTTACTTAAACTGACGGATGAGGCGCGATCCTGCTCTCCAGCCACACGGGCCCTGTTTCAAGGGCTCAGGAGCCTCAAGCGGCCGGTGGCTGCCGCCTGGACAGGACATGTAGGGCACTTGCCATCCTCACAGAGTCCCGTGGTTCCAGATCAGATGTTCTCACCCAGGTGACTCTGCCCCCGTGGGTCCCTGGGCCACATCTGGGGACGTGTGTGGTTGTCACACCTGGGGGGGGGATCCTGGCGTCAGGCGGGTCGGGGCAGGGATGCTGCTCCACACCCCACAGCGCCCGGGATGCCCCACAGAGGGTGAGCCGACCCCACGTCCCCCTGGGCTCCAGGGAGCATAGAGTGGCCTCCCCCGTCGCCTGAGACCCCGTCCCAGGCCGCGTGGCCTCGGGCGCGGGCCTCCTTGCTCTGAGGTGGGGACCCGGCTGGCCGGCTAGGGCCAGGCCACTCACGTTGTTCCTTCCCTTTCAGAACCACGCCTTCATCAAGCGGTCCGAGGTGGAAGAAGTGGATTTTGCCGGCTGGTTGTGTAAAACGCTGCGGCTGAACCAGCCCAGCACGCCCACACGCACTGCCGTCTGACGCTCCCGCCACCGACAGACCCACTCCCCCTCCCGCCCCTCCGGCTGCCCCCCTCCGTGGGGATGCGCTTGTGGCCCTGGGGCCCTGGGAGGCCGACGCTGCTGCGCTGTCTTCTCAGAACCTGCTTCCTTAGGTTTAAAGAAAAAAACCGAAACAAAACAGGGAAAGAAAAAGCAAACGTGCCGGTTGTGCTTCTTGTGCCTTGTCCTTGGGGTGTCAGCCTTGATCCAGCCCGGGGTGGGCGCCTCTGTGAGGGCGGCCCAACCCCTGAGAGACGGGTGTGGCGTCGGTCACTGGCTTTGCTCCTTTCCGAGGGCTGAAGCCTTGGAGGGACCCCAGCTGTGGGTGACTTTCACCAGAAGAGAAGGGGGCTTCCCCCTTGAGGTGCATGTGTGCCCCCAGCGGGGCATCTGCCCCTTGGAGGTGGCCCTCCCAGCCCGCAAGAGCCATTGGGCCCAGTGGCTCTCGTGGTGTCCCCGCCCCGGCCTCGGGCCATGCAGCCTGTCCTCAGCAGTGCGTGACCTGCCCCCTGGGAGGGACCCCCGAGTCCTCTGCTGTGCTTCGGGGAACAGAGACTTCTGACAGCTCACAGCAGCCTGAGCTGACACTCGCTTGGCAGAAAGGAAGCCTTGGGTTTCCAAGCTGTCCTGTGGTTGAAGCCCCAGCAGATCCTGCAAATAAGGCCCGCTCCCCTATGCCTGCAGGCCGACAGATGTGGGCCGGTGGCTCTGTGTCACCTCCACTCGCCCAGCAAATCAGAAGTGACCGCCCAAGCCACGTCACTGTCTCGGGCCTTGAACCGTTCGACCGCAGCTGATCGGAAATGAGATGGTGAGGGTGAGGCTGTCCTGACTCCTGGTGGCCATTGAGGTGTCCAGCCAGGCCCTCTGCAGGGGGCTGCGTGAGGTCCGAGGCCCGAGACCCAGCCTTTCCGCCGTCAGGGCCGTACCACCTCCAACAGAGAAGGCCGCCTCGGGGCCGTCGGGCAGTAGGAAGTGGTGGAGGGCAGGGCTGCTTCTAAGGCTTCCCCTCCTGCAGGCTCTCTGAAGATGAAGCTGTGAGTCTCCCCACAACCCCAATACTTCCTGAAGGCTTGAAACGAGCCGATATTTATCTGTGATAAATCGCGTAGGAAGGGTTCTCGTAGAGCAGTGGTCCTGGTGCAAGCCACACCGGCCCCGCGATTCTGGAGAAGGTACAGCTGAAGGTGGGGGATCGTGGCCCTCCGGAAACTGCTGGGTCCTTTTCTTCTAGGGAGACCCTTCAAGTCTCGTCTGTTTTTTCCTGTGGTCACCAAAGAGAAGACAAGTTGGTAGCCGTACCAACCAGCTTTCCAGATTTCTGCCACCTTGTAGTTGCCCCCAAAGTCTTTCCCGATTTAGAAAAGAATAAAAAAAGATAACTGAAAGTGATGGAGGTGTCGCTCTGTGGGTACCCCAGCTCCCTCCAGAGCTTCAGAGGGGGAAGGGGGCCTAACGGGTGAACTGTGACTCAGCGTCTTGGCCCGTGGGCGCCCGGCACTGGCAGTCACAGGCAGCCCCATCGCTGGGCCAGTCCTGTACACGTCAGGCTGTGGGCCTGACCAATGCCTGTTAACAGAGCCGACTGCCGTTTGCAAGGAGTGAGACCACATTGACGGGGTCCCTAGGGGTGTGGGTGAATTGGGTCGGTGGGGTAAGGCCTCCAGGGTTGCTGGGGGAGGACGGATCGAAAGTAGGTGCCTCCCCCCAGCCCATCGGCTCCAGCCGCCCACCGTCTGCTGTGTTGCTTTGCCAGGACCCCGAGGCGCCTCAGGAAAGGACCAGAGAGACACTTGGCACTTACCCTTCCCACTCCGAGTCAGCCAGGAACACGCCAGAGCCTCGGAGACCGACTTTAACAGCCAGGGGTCTCCCTCCCTCCCCCGTCCCCCGCCTGCTTCCTGCAAACATCGCTAGACGTGGCCCCCTCTGCCCCCACACACCGACACCCCGTCTCTTCCCGGTTCACAGTGGTCCAGGCCTGGCTGCTCCCATCCAACGATCTGGCCGAAGGTGACCACAGGCCGGCCTGGGAACGCTGATCCCTGCCCTGTCGAGGTCCTCTCTCACAAGGGGGCAGGCTCTTCTTTCTGAAACATGTAACATCTGTTGGTTTTGGGGTCTCCCGACGTGTAGGGGTCCAGGCAGAAGGTGGGGTCAGGCAGCCAGGCTGCCGGCCCCTCCCGAGCTTCTTGTGAGAGACTGTGTTCTGTTTCAAGGTTCCCCGTGGCTCTTCCTTAAAGCCCGAGAAGGCCAAGTGCGTGAGATGATGCAGCCGCCCTGTTCGGGCCCCTGGGACCCCCAGCGTCCCTCTGACCTCTTTGTCCAAAAACAAATCAATCAGGAAATGAATCCAAGAGCTTCAGAATCTCACCCGTTGGGTCTTTTCTTACTTGGGTTTTGAGTTTTCTTCGCTTCTGGGGTTTTGGGGTTTTCTTGTTTTTTTGGTTTCTTTTGCGCTTGGTTTGGAAGAAGAAGGTATCCAGCGTCTTGTCGATGCAAGTTTCTCCTCAGGTCCAAGTTTTCATCATATTAAACAGCACTTTACAACACCGCGTGTGCTGACCCCTGTGTCCCCAGAGAGCAGACTCTCCCTGCCTGGTTCTGAGCAGCTCACAAGTGACCTTGGAATAAGTGATGAGCCGGGAAAGGTGGCCCAGCTCCATCAGGGTGCCACAGGCTTTTACCCCCAGCCCCGGCCATGGGCCAGAAGCCAACTAAAAGCTCGGAGTCATGGGCGGGCAAATGCCCGCCCGCCTCATCCAGTGGAATTCTCAGGTTGGACCAGCCCCGGCCCCGGGACCGTCACATTCCCTTCTGTGAGTGTAACAGACGTTCCGGGGATGGGGCAGGGGGAAAATGGAAGGAAAGAAGGTGTGCAGAACCCAGAACTGGCAAGCAGATTCCAGGTGGGTCTCGGCCCCCCGCGCCCTCAGATGCCACTGGGACGCACGTGCATCATTCAGCTGCAGGCGCAACTTAAATTTCCTCATGGCCACATTTAAAATAGGAAAAAGAGTTAACCCTTCTGGTTCCTTGTTTTTGTTTGGTTTTTGTTTTGGCCTCACCGCGTGGCACGTGACAGGCAGGATTTTTAGTTCCCCAATCAGGGATCAAACCTGTGCCCCCTGCGGTGGAAGCACGGAACCGCTAGGGAAGTCCCTGGCGAAGGTAATTGGATGGTATGTTTTATTTAACCCAGTGTAGTCAAAATATTACCCTTGCACTTTGCAATCAATATGAAAATTAGTCTGGTCTTTTCCTTTTTTTTTTTTTTTTTTGGTATGGAGTTGTGATACCGTGTGTTTTGCCCTCACTGTGTATCTCAATTCGGACGGCCCACATCTCCAGTGCTTGATGCCCCACGTGGCCAGAGGCTGCTCTGTCCTCTCCCAGCTGTCATCATGCCCACTGGGTCTCAGTGGGGACACTCTTGTCCCCCTCAACCCAGGGGACACTGACGTCCGGGGGCATCTGTGGTCGTCACGACTGGGGGGGCTCCTGGCATCCAGCGGGTGGGGCCAGGGATGCTGTTCCTTTTTTTTTTTTTTTTTTTTTTTTGGTATGGAGTTGTGATACCGTGTGTTTTGCCCTCACTGTGTATCTCAATTCGGACGGCCCACATCTCCAGTGCTTGATGCCCCACGTGGCCAGAGGCTGCTCTGTCCTCTCCCAGCTGTCATCATGCCCACTGGGTCTCAGTGGGGACACTCTTGTCCCCCTCAACCCAGGGGACACTGACGTCCGGGGGCATCTGTGGTCGTCACGACTGGGGGGGCTCCTGGCATCCAGCGGGTGGGGCCAGGGATGCTGTTCCGCCCACCAAGCCTGCGGTGTCCCCCCCCAGAGGGTAACCCGGCCCCCTGTCAGCAGTGAAGGGAGGAAGCTGGTTTAGCCCACACCCCTCCCGGGATCCAACAGTGTAGAAGGCCACAGTTCCCCCATAGAAGTCAGACCCTGGGTCTTCTATGTCCAAGGCAGCCCTGCCTGAAGCCCCCAGGTTTCCTGTGTCCAGCGCCTGGGACACGGTGTGGCAGGGGGCGTGTGGGCAGGGGCGGCCCAGAACCTTCTGGAAGGCAGGGAGTCTGGAGAAGGGCGCTCAGCCAGCCCCGGGGGTGGAGGTGTGTGCCGGGCAGGAAGCCTCAGGTCCGGGAGGCGGGACTCAGTGGACTCCGGGTTAACCGAGTTCAGTTCAGAAGAAGCTGCCACAGCATTTCCCAGAAAGTGGGGATCAGCCGGGCAGAGTGGGAGTGAGGAAGGGGAAGGGATGGCCTCAAAATGAAACCAGCAGGGGCCCTGCGGGTCTCACCCCGCCTCCCGGGGCTGGGGCTCCCAGCTGACCAGGTGTGCGGGGCCCGAGCCACCCACCCGGGGCTGGAGGCCACACCTTGAACTTCAGGCCAGTGGCTGGAGGCCTTTACTTAACAAAAGTATTACTCACTTTATTAAAAAAGTCAGTTGAAATTTAAAAAAAAATCAAATTTCCTTAATTCTCTTAAGATAAATATAGATTTATAAATTAGATTTACATTTTTAAGAAAAACATTTAATGCATTAAGCAAATTTAAATGCATTTACAGTGGGCCTTACACATTATTTCCATTTTAAAAGACTGAGATAGGAACGTACAAAGAAACGCAAACTGCTTATCTCTTTAAAAAGTTAAGTTTAAGTTGGACTTCTGTTTCTAGCAGTATGGTGGGCTATATCCCTTAAATGGCCTTCCTGATAAAAACAACGGAAGTACGGGAATCAAAATATTAAAAAGGCTTTTATTTGGTGTTATGTCTCTTATGTCATTTTCTTCTATACCAATTCACCCTCTTTTTTTTCTTTTTCCTTCCTTACCTTATTCTTTCATAGGAGATATCAGCTCATTTGTCCTACTGACTTTCCTACAGTCCGGATTTGGTTGATTGCTTCCTTGTGTACCATCTGACATTAAATTGTTCCTTTATCCTTTGTATTTTTTGGCAAACTGATAGTCTATGTAGATGCTTCTTTAGATTCTTGTTCAATTTTTTTTTTTTTTTTTTTTTTGGTATGGAGTTGTGATACCGTGTGTTTTGCCCTCACTGTGTATCTCAATTCGGACGGCCCACATCTCCAGTGCTTGATGCCCCACGT